TGCCTGAAATGGAGCCAGAGATGATGATGTGGAGCAATGGAGCAGCTGGAGACTTTAGATCCAGAGAGGGAGAGCGACTGTGTGCTGAAGACCTGGGGGGTACGGGGGAAGGACTGCATGGAGGGGATTGTAACCATGGCAATGAGACAATATAAGATAGAATGAATGTAAAACTAATGTTCTCCCTTGTAAACTATCACATAATTCACAATAAAACATTTAAGCAAAAAAAAAAAGAAAGAAATGCTGGTGACACTGTAAGATAAACACGGGATTTCTAAATACAAGTTCAGTAGTTCAAACCCACCAGCTGCTCCATGGGAGAAAGATGATACTTTCTGTCGCTATAAAGATTTGTTGTTGTTATTAGGTATCATAGATTCATAGCTCTTTAGGGTTTCCAAAGTGGTAAATCTTGATGAGAGCAGAAAGTTTCTTATTTCTCCCACAGAGTGTTTCGTGAATTCAAACTGCTGACTTTGTGATTTGCAGACCAGTGCTTATCCTACAGTGCTACCAGTGCTCCTTCACCTTATTTAGTGTTTTGAAAGCAGTCAAAATTTCAGAAACCCTAATACATAGGGTCTCTGTGAGTCAGAATCAACTCGATAGCACGTAGCAACAACAACATTGCAGGATAGATTCCCTGTGAGGCCAGTAGCTTTTGGTACAGAGATATTGGCATGTACATATCAAAAAACAGTCTCAACTACTCTTTCAAGCAGAAGAAAGGAGAGAAGGCTGGAGGCACTGGTTTTCAACAGAGTACATCACATTATTAAAGCCACTGCTATTGAGTAAATTCCAACTTAGAGCAACCCATAATGCAGGGAAGAATTGTTCCGACGACTTGTAAATCTTGACCTAAGCAAACACCCTCATCATTCTCCTGCAGAGCAGTTGGTGTGTTTGAATTACCAACCTTGTGGTTAGCAGTTCAATACTCATCCCACAATACTACCAGAGCTCCTTTTATTATACTGTTACTTGTAACATATTGAACTCATGGCAATAAGAACCATGTAAACTTCGGTGATAACTCCCTGGAATGGCATTTCTCACTGTACTTAGTTAGCACTTACGATTCAGAAAAGCTTTAAACCAAGACTTCATTCAAAAAGTTCACAGAAAAAAATTCATTATCTTGTAATTCCATTTTTCCATGAATTTTTTGAAGACTCTATAGCTCCTGTAAACAAAGAGATAATAGCTTTTAAAATATAGCTGACATTTGAAATCACTGAATAACATATTTTTTTTAATTTAGAAAATAAAGTCAACAAAGTAGAATTAAAAGGCTAAAAAAAAAAAAAAAAAGGCAGTATCATACGCTCATTTTAAATAATACCAGTTTCTAAAAACATAAACACAAAAATGGAAACTTTTTACCTTTCAATTTTGCATGTAAGCAAGGTTTCATATATTAAATGGCCACCATGAAGCACTTAATTCAACAGCTAAAAGAGTTAACCAAATTTACAATCTGAACATCAACTACCTGTGTGTTAAAATCCAGTCAAATTATACTATTGCCTTTCTGGGGGTGGGAGGAAATAGTAAACACAAAACAGTTCATCACCCCATAAAAAGGTCATTTATAGTCACAAATCTGTAATCTGTATTTTCAAAAAAAGTGGCCTATAGCTAGTCAGTAGGCTCTAATCATGGTCAAAATGCATAACCACTGTGTCCACAAATTGTTGGTTTTATTGCTACATATATTGTTGTTGTTACATGCTGAGTTGGTTCCGATTCACAGTGACCTAATGCACAGCAGAATGAAACACTGCCCAATCCTGGACCAACCTCACTACTGTTGCCATGCTTGAGTCCATAGATGCTACCATTTGGCCAATCCATCTCATTGGGGGTCTTTCTCTTTTTCTCTAACCCTCCACCTTACCAAACATGATATCTTTCTTCAGCAAATGGTCCCTCCTGACAATATGTATGAAGTATGA